GGGTAGACACTTGTGATTTGCACAATTCCAGTCAGAGCTTTTCCATTCTTCAAGACAACATTCATTTGACGGCTAACCTATGCAAAAGCGGTCATTGTACAGAGTGTGAAGGCCAGTAGTTGCTTCCTTATCTGCTTGCAGCAGTGGTATTTCCATTACTATGACTATCAAATGTTAACCTCTTGCCTATTGCTGCAGGTGTGGATAAGGACGACCTAGCCGACCAGGTTCGGCAAATGCAGTCAGAGATTGCTGACTTGAGATTGGGACGGGTGCAGTCGGACTCGGAGATCGCAAATCTCCACCTTAAGCTGGACAGTAGCACACGGACTTCAAGAACGGAAGCGGACGTCGGAAGGGTGAGTTTTCGACACAAAAGAGGAGAGGGGAGGAGGATTCTGAGGGGAATTTTGTCAGATGCTTGCAAGGTCTCTCTGCTCAGCACGCTATGGGGTCGGTCTCTCTGCTCAGCATGCTATGGGGTTGGTATGGCTTATACAGTTTCATTCAGTCTGTTAAGGCTCATGTACTCTGTCTAGTGAAGCATTTGCGGAGCCAACCTGGATGACTATTTGTTGATGGGCCTATGGGTCAATTTGGTCTGCAGTGGCGTAATCCGTTTACTTCTCTTCTGTAGGAAGCTAGAGCTCGATCCAAGCGCGTGACCAATCTCCCCTTCATCGCGTGTGAGACCCCGGAAATGATGGAGAACGCTGTCCAAGCTGTAAAGGAGTGCTTTCCGGGCGCTAAGGCGACTGGTCGCACATTCCCGATTGCCAGTGAGTTGCAAAGCAACGTGTTCTAGTGATGGCGCTCATTGTTTGGGGCAATTAGTGTTCGACTCTTCGAAAGACGCACTGATGCCCTCTATCTGTAAGACTGTTTCAGAGGGAGGGAGTTATGTAGGTTCTTTTCATCTGGATGCGAGTCAGTGTCCAAGCTTTTGTCATCCACTTGTCTTCGAAGGAGCCCTCCCGAATAGGCTGTTGCCTACCCTGCTATCGTCACATCTTATAAACCTCGAGTTCAGCAATGTTGTGTCCAGAATAGGCTTTTTTGTACCCAGAATTTTCCATCCTCTGAAAGGCGCATGTCTAATGACCTGCAGAGTCGCTACAAACGATCAATGAGGAGATCAAATCTGAGCCGGAGCCGGAGGTGCAGCGCGCAGGAGGGGCCAAGACGTCTGACTCAGACTCGTGTTCAAACCCCCCTCACCTGACACTAGTAGACCTCATTCCCCAGGCACAGTTGAGCGAGGATAAGCCCAAGAAAACCCAGCTGAGCGAGGACAAGCCTAAGAAGTCCCAGTTCAGCGAGGATAAGCACATGCAGCCCTGTGTGATGAAAATAATCCACGCAGTAAAAAAAGCGGTCGGTTCAAAGCTTATTGTGATGGACACGCACAGTTCCTCCAACCAATTCATAAACCCCGTAGGCCGACCGGACGCAAGCATGCTGGCAGAGGAGCTGATAGCGTGGACTCAGCTCGTTACGGTCGGCGAGTTCAAGGTTAACGACGGTAAAGACGATGTGGATTCGATGTTCGGTCAGCAAATCGGACGAGGCCAGGTAGCTCTAGAAAATCAGCCGGATCGGCAGCATTTCTTCTCGTTTGGCCTAAACATGAACGCCTTAGAGGTTGTCCACATTCATCGGGATAGCGATTGCAAGTGGGTGATAGAAACGACAGGCCTGCAGCCCTTCTACATCGGCGAAGACTCGGTTGGCTTTAGATGGCTGGTGAGGCTCCTAGCGACGGAGAAGAGCAAGCTGGGCTTTGTGAGCCCTGTGTTGCCGAACCTGAGCGTGTTGGAGGGAGTGCGGGTGGGCAGATTGCAGTTGCTGAGACGGGGCACGGGGCCCAGCACTGTGGGGAGCTGGGTGTTTACTGCAGAGCGCGACGGTTACGCCGGGAAATGCATTCTGAAGCTTTGCGACCGCAAGCTGGAGGTGAGTGCTTGAGGTGCTCAGGAATTGCTCTGAAGTGAGACATAGGGAGATCAGGATTCTAACCAACTCAACCGGAATTGCTGAAGCCATTCTGTAAATGGGGTTTCAGGCCGCGACCGACTTGACTTCTCAAGGCGTCTGGAACCTGTGTCAGAATTGCAACCTTAAACAATAACGGATTCTATTACACCCAAAACCCCCAGATAGCAGGGAACTTGCCTGACTCTGGGTTGTTGATGGTCCCTCCGGTAGCCCTGAACTCAACTCCTTGTGGGGCGGATTTCGCCCCCTCAGCCACAGTCTTGCATGGGGGCCGGGCCTCATTGATCTCGTAATGGGAGGCCAGGTTCTCACTTCAATAGTCCCCCCGTTTGTCTGCGGGGACAGGATCGACGCAATCTTTTCATGAAGCAGGGGACTCGGGGTGCTGTTCTTCCTTGGCTCCGGTATAAATCACTGGTGAAGTTTCTTGCCAGTAATCCTGTTCGTTTCCAACCCCAAAAGATTATTTGTGAGGTTGCCGAGTGACTTTCATGCCCCAAGGGGTTGATGCCGAAACCCCATAGGACTTTGCCTGCCCTGGAAATGCACGTCAGAAGCTGACGCAGACTTTTGAGAACCCATTGATGAAGAGTTGTACTTCTTGGTAAACCTGGTAACCACGTCAAGGGTGTGCTGATGTTGGGCCGGGAATGCTCAAGGTATTGCTGGGGGGCTGACGCATGCTTCTTGTCACTGCAGGGCGATCTGCTGGGAATGCTGACTGCGGAAGATGTGCCACACCTTGTGAAGGTCCTCGCAAGCGGCGAGTGCACCTACCAGGGTCGACAGTGGCATGTGCTCCTTCTGGCCCCGTATGCACAGCGGCTCACCATGCAACTTGGACGGAAGTCGCTTGTCCAGGTTCGTCTTCAGCAATGAAACAAGCTTGGCTCGTTTCTTTGGTGTCTCCCTTCAAGCAGGATGGCTTTGGCAATTTATTTTCACAGGGGGTGTCCTTCTTTTCTCTGTTAAGACGTTCAGAGCCGTGCGGTTAGTCTCTAGAACTTGTCTCTCTACTTGTTTGGATCGGTGCATGAGTCTGTACAAGATATTTTGTCACATCTTTCTGTCAAAAAAAAGGGTCTGCAGGTCTCTGCTATTTCTGACTTCTCTTCTCGTTGTTCATATCTGACCAGACCCTTCGACTGATGCTTCTCTTGCAGGCGGCGCGTGATGTTGCGGATGCAATCAATGGGTGCTTAGAGAAGGGCGTCCTCCACCGGGACATTAGCCTGGACAACATCGGAGTTTTCGAGGGACGAGGACTGCTCTTCGACTTCTCAGCAGCCAAGGTTCGTTCACCTTTATCGACATTCTGGTTGAATCTGACAGTGAATTCGGTATGTGCATACTTGCTTCATGCGGATTCTGAGAACAGATCTGGTCATGCATGCCGCTATCCTCTGTAAGTACGTCAAAGTCAGCCGTTTCAGACGCTAAGGCTCAGTACATGCTGTGACGTCAGCCCGCAGTCGAGCATCCCTACCAGACCCTACCAGACCCGGACCCCTCAGCCGCTAGCATTAGAGTCTCCGGTCATGGCTTCAAGACGCTCTCGTTCAAATGCAATCCAGCTGTAGGCAAAGAGTTCAACCCGGGCAACCCCAGCATGGATTGTTTCGCGTCTCGGAAGTAGACTACGGTTTGCATCTTTCCAGTTCCTGGTGTCATTCTTTGCCGGGAGGTTTGACGGGACCTACTCCTCTCTAGGTCGTCGCCCCCGAGGACGTGGACAAGATACAGCCAGCCAGTCCGACTGGGAAGCTGGGCGCCATCACTGGCACCCCGCTCTATGCGCCTCTCTCGGTTCTTCAAGGGCGGAGCCACACTCGGAGCTCCATGCTGGAGGGGCTCTACATCAGCCTCCTCGCTTGCTGTTGCGACGAGAAGGTGGCGCGGCGTCATGATATGAAGCTGTCCGACCTGGAAAAGTGCGCGGAGCTGCGGGCCGGACGGATGCTCGCGGCCGAGCCGAGCGACCTCAAGAGGGTCCCGGATGAGTTTCGTGGCTTCCTCTCGGAGCTCCACGATCTCTTCTATCCAAGGACGCCAGGGCGAAGTATGCGCGATTATTGCATGCAAGTGACGGCAGAGCAGTTCAATGGTGTCTGTTCAAAGTGGGCCCATTAAAAGCTCTCGGTAGAGTTTTGTTCCGTTAGATACCATGAGGCAAGGTCTTGGTATTGCGGTCAAGTCCATTGAAGTACGCCAAAACTTGGGGTGCTATAGTTTGAGACGACAAGCAGGTCTGGATTGCAAATACACACTGAACAAGTGATATAAGTATTCGCATGTCGCCAGCCAGAAGGACCCAATCTTGTGCATGAACTCGGAGAGAGTTGCTTCTCAAGCATTCAAGTAATAGTCCATCTGATTTTAAAAGACTTTGTGCATGCTGCATATGTCTGCTGTTTGTGCATGCGGGTTTGTCTGCTGGGCTTTTAGGAACGTGCATAGTGACATGACGTATGCAGAAACGTATCCAACGTGCTTGTGACAGCAGGTGACCACGGTAGAATCGGGGATTGCAGCAACGCTGGTCTTGATGCTTCCATCAATCAATTGTGCAACTTGAATTTATAGCTTCAACATTAGTAGCAAGCTCGAGCTCTTGATTGATACTTTCATAACGAACCAAATTCTGCACATAGCAAGGGAGATTATATCTTGGAAAAATCCGATCTACATTCGGACATACGATGACGATTTGAACTCGCAATGCCCACGTTTGGAGGGTCAATCATACAGCCCCGATTCAACCCAAATTTCGTTAACTTCACCCGGGTCAATTTAAACTTGCGCTAGGGTGCCTTGAATTGATTTGTTCTACCGTAGGATATTTCAATCTCGCTTCAAAATTTTGCGGCGGAATGTATGTATGACGCAGTCTGGCACTAACTGTGGCGAAACCCAAGATTTGACCATGTTATCGGGCCGATGTATGTTGGAGCTCAAACCAGCTCGCGGCCGCTTTGTGCGTGTAACACATGTGGCGCCGTCGTACGACAGCATGGCTTGCTTGATTGGCCGCCATCAATTTTCCCAATGGTTAGCACTCTAGCTCTCTCGATATGCACATGCTGTGTAGCATCTGTTTCGTTTTTAATAAGGACGCATGGCAGGAACATTGGAACATTTGACTCCAAGCTTGCCCCCGTGCCAATGTCATTGACATGCACAATGATGTGT